TATCGGATACTTCTTAAAAGTATCGGATACTTCTTAATTAATTTTTTATTAATTTTGAAGTATCGGATACTTAATTTTGAAGTATCGGATACTCGAAGTTACATATTACTTATAATATTTTGTTTAGTTCTTTCATAAGAGGAATATAGTGAGAGCTTAAGTAATAGAATTTGTCAAATTGATGTATCCTTGTTGTCTCTCTCACTTCTCTCTCGCTTTCTCACTCTCTCACGTTTCGTCTCTCTGCTCCCATTCTTTTTTTGGTGTTGGCATGTAAGGATGATGTTTAATTTGCATTTGCATTTGCATTTGTTGCCAGAAATGTAATACTGGGCTCTGATACCATGAAAGATTAGTGAAAGATTAGTTTGAGAGAGTGAGAGAAGTTATAGAGCGAGAGAGAGACTCTGAAATGTTTTGTATATATGTGTTAATTACAAAGGGAATGAAGTCTCTCTTTATAGAGAGAAACATGGGCATTGGATGCCACACTCACCGAAAGCAAAAGCTATACAATTGATTGAGTACCACCGAAAGCAAGCAAAAGCTATACATTTGATAATATAAAGCAAAAGCTATGTAACACTATACAATTAATAATAATAAATTTAAAACTATTCTAAATTGATGACTTAAAAAAGTATGTTTGCTGAAATTTTTATTTAAGAATAATTTTTTGGCTTTGGCTTTAGCTAAGGTCTTGTGATATTCACTGATGAAGGGGAACAAGTTGAAGCTATTGACCTTGAAGACTCTTAGTTTTGTAGGAATCTTTCTTCTTTATCAAGTTGTCTTTTGCTTTAAGTTTTATTTTTATGCATACTGCATTACTAAAAATTGTTAAAATAATATTTTTTACGAACGTATCCCCGCCGTACCCGTATCCTAGTTTTTCAAATTTTGTCGTATCGCCGTATCGTATCGTATCCGTATCCGTATCCCGTATCCGTATCCATGCTTCCTAGAAGAAAACAAAAAAACCAACACAAAATATAACTCAATTAACCCAAGCTTGTTTGCGGAATTGGCAATAAGTAGGGACCTAAAAATTGATTCTCTGACACCTTTGTTATATCTCGCAATCGACATTCTATCACCCTCTCCCACACTTTCATTATATGACACATTAACTTGATTCCTCTATAGTTGTTGCAATTCTGAACATCTCCTTTATTCTTATAGTTAGGCAATAAAATATTTTTCCTCCACTCATCTGGCATGTTCCTAGTCAAAAAAGATTTGCTAAACAACCTAGTCAACTAAGCAACCCCCTTTTTATCCAAACACTTCCAAGCTTCAATAGGGATATCATCGGGTCCTAAAGCCTTATTTGATTTCATCTTCTTAAGTGCAATCTCCACTTCAAAATTCATAATCCTACAATAAAACCTATAATTTTAGTTCATCGTATTACTGGCTATTTCTTCCGCTATTGGCATACCTTCATGTTCCTCATTTAATAGTTTCTCAAAATAATTCGTTCATCTCTCCTTAATCTCTTTATCCTTCACCAATACCTTAGAATGCTCACTCTTAATGCACTTAACTTAATTAAAATCTCTTATTTTCCTCTCCCGTATCTTAGCAAGTTTGTATACCCTCTTCTCTCCCTCCTTACTATCTAGTCTAGTGTATAAGTCATCATAAGTTTTCAACTTAGCCTCTCTCACTACTTTCTTGATCTTCTTATTAGCCAATCTATAACTCTTAAGGTTTTCCTCAGTTCTATCATTCTGCCACTTTTTAAAGCACTCCTTTTTTTGCTTTAACTACCACTTGAACCTCTTCCCTCCACCACCAAGTTTCCCTAGAGCTGGGTCCCGTTCCTTTCGACTCTCCAAGCACTTCCCTTGAGATTCTCCTCATACAATTGGTCATCGAATTCCACATAGTGTTAGCATCATCTTCCAAGTCCCAAGCACCTCCCTTATCCATTCTATTCTTAAATATTTTTAGTTTATCCCCTTTTAGGTCCCACCATCTCGTCCTACGATGCCAACCATTCTTCCTAACTTGGTATTGCCATTTAAAACATAAATCTAGTACCAAAATCCTATGTTGAGAGGCCAAGCGCTCTCTAGGAATCACCTTACAATCACTGCATTTTAGGCGGTCCACTTTTCTCACTAAAAAGTAACATATTTGGCTATTAACTAACCCACTCTTAAAGATATCAAATGCTCCTCTCTCTTCTTATACATAGTATTGGCCACCACTAGATCAAAAGCCAATGCAAAATCTAAAATACTCACTCCAGCCTCATTTCTATCACCCAAACCGCATCCACCACGCACCTTTTCATAGCCTAATTTATCTATGCCTACATGGCCATTGAAATCTCCACCTATAACTAGATTCTCTCCTGTAAGATCTCATCCATTCGCTCCCAAAAATCCCTCTTAGTCTGATCATCTAATCCTACTTGAAGGGTGTATACACTAATAACGTTCACTATATTCCCTCCAATAACTAATTTAACTAACATAATCCTATCCCCTTTCCTAATGACCGCCACTATATTTTCCACAAGGCCCTTGGCAACTATGATTTCTACCCCATTTCCTATATCTATCCTTACCACTAAAATACAGTTTAAAACCGGTATCTTCAATTTCCCTAACTTTCTCACCCATCCACTTAGTTTCTTGTACTCATGCTATACTAACTCTTTTCCTAATAATAACATCCAGCAATTCCATCGTCTTACCAGTTGAAGTTCCTATATTCCAAGTGGCTACCCTAAACCTATAATCCCATAGTCTTGGACTAGGTTCTTTACTCGCACTCGTTCAGAAAAATGCGGGAACCTTTGCCCATTTTTCACCCACCCAGGCGTCGATACGGCGTCCCTTGCTCACTTTTCGACACACCTGGAGGCAGGTGCAACGCATCACTTGAGGGGAACAATCTAGTATTTAATCGATTCAAAGTAGAATTCATTGTCATAAAGGATACGAGCGGCTTTTTTACATGTTGGCTATCGACTACCTAACACAACCCTCCTCCTTTACCCGGGCTTGGGACCGGTGGAGTTGTTAACCACCCCAGCGGAGTTATATGTGTGTATATATATGTATATAATAAAAAATAAAAAGAAGAAAGAAAGAAAGAAAGGACACAAAAGCATTTGTTGTACTTTCAAAGATGGGACTGAGATGAAATAAGAAATCTCCTTGATCAACAGAAATGACAAGGCATTGATGGCATTTTTAAGGATTACTTCTATCAATGTGGATCACTAATTTGCATTCTTGTAGAGGTTATGGAAGGATTGGAAAAGCCACCCCACCCAGGCGTCGATACGACGCCCCTTGCTCACTTTTCGACACACCTGGAGGCAGGTGCAACGCGTCACTTGAGGGGAACAATCTAGTATTTAATTGATTCAAAGTAGAATTCATTGTCATAAAGGATACGAGGGGCTTTTTTACATGTTGGCTATCGACTACCTAACACAACCCTCCCCCTTTACCCGGGCTTGGGACCGGTGGAATTGTTAACCACCCCGGCAGAGTTTTATGTATGTATATATATGTATATAATAAAAAATAAAAGGAAGAAACAAAGAAAGAAAGGACATAAAAGCATTTGTTGTACTTTCAAAAATGGGACTGAGATGAAATAAGAAATCTCCTTGATCAACAGAAATGACAAGGCATTGATGGCATTTTTAAGGATTACTTCTATCAACGTGGATCACTAATTTGCATTCTTGTAGAGGTTATGGAAGGATTGGAAAAGCCACCTAGAAAGAATAACAGCTAATTGCCACAAATATATTTTGACGTGACCTCCTTTAAAGCATATATAATTCAAAATTAATTTTGTATCTGTTTCATTAGTAATGGCAGAACGCCAACCTACTTCAAAGCTGAAACAGGTAATCCGTGACACTTGTCCTCTCAAGTGCCTCACCAGTTAGCATGACCAGCCATGTACCCTTCCATAAATGCTATTTCACTTTAACACCATGCGCATGGCACAAGCAATCATTTTCCAAAGCAAAGAGCCAGGGGACCTAAGATATAGTTGTTTCACTTAGAATGCTTGGTCTTCCAGTCTCCAGATATTCGAAAACAAATGGGGCCAAAAAGTTCCATTTTTTTTCCAGAACAAAATGGTGTGCAATAAACAATAATAGAGAACATATATACACACACATATATAGATACTAATTTCTAGAACTTGTTTTGGTAATCAAGGAAATGGTATTGATTTGCTGCCCAAATGTTGAATGGAGGATGGAAAAAAAAAAAGAGCTCCATCGAATCAAATTGGCCAAATGTCTACCTTCATGAGCCCTCAAGGCCTGCTTCTCATCCTTACTCACTGTCAAGGTCAAGGGGCAGGCACAGATTATGATAAAAAAGATGGGGAAGAGAGCTTTATGATGTTTGTGAATTGTAAATTCTAGGACATGCTCTACCCTTAGTGTACCCCCTCAAATCACCTGGTCTTTCCTAAATGAACTTTAATCACTTATTTAGAGGAATCACTTGAACAAGATAAGATATGCATAGAAAACTGCTTTTGTAATCTGTAAGAAAATTGTAAACAAAGGAACAAGTATAATGACCATCAAAAACCATGGTTCCTCAATTTGGTCTTGAAACACCATTCCACTATCACTACACAATCAAAGTCAAAGATAGAAGAGAATAACTTAAATATCTATTCAAGATTCTTTAGTGTTTTTAATTGCAAAAAGTTTGTATTATTTTTAGCAAGTGTGTCCCAATGGTACAACATCTATTGAATGCAATGCAAGCTGAAATCAGGCATAGGTAGATGATATCGATGTTGCAGAGAATAAACAATGCACTGCTGTATTAGTAGTTCAAGACTACCTAATATCCCAGCATTAAGCAAGTGAAGTTGTTTTGTTAGATAAAGCTGTAAATCACTCAAGCTCCCAATTAGGTTTAAAACAGGACTCAACGTTACCAAGTAATGTTAAATAATTTTATTAGACATAAGACTTATATACACCAAAAGGTTACCTGTCCGTCTGTATAGCAGATATGAGAGCATTATCAGATGGTGGAAGAAACTTCAATATAATTGCAGCATAGAAGAAACCCACAAAGAAAACAGAGCCAAATATGAGTAAGAACCAGCCCCAAAAATCTTTGTCCTTGGAGGCAATAAATTGGGAGAAATTCCACATGCTTTCACCAAATCAGTTCTAAGACCTCAACAATAGAATGTCCATTTCAGCATATTCCCTTGCTACAACCAACACCATCCAGCAACCTATTCCCTAGATAACCATCACAGAATTCAACTAACTTTTAGGCACAACATGCAATGAATTTATTATGTAAAATCTGAGAAGCTTACTAGGCTTCCTTGGATACGTCTAAAGGCTAACATTTCAGAGGAAGAACTGTAAGCATAAATAATCTATATCAGTCTATACTCCTACAAAATGTCGCAAGGGTGTAAAACTTAATTATGTAAAAACTGAAAGGCTTACTACCAGGCTTCCTTGGATATTTCTACACTCTAAAGGCTAACATACCTGAAGAAGAACTGTAAGCATAAATAATCTATATCAGTCTATACTCCTGCAAAATGTCGCAAGGGTGTAAAACTTAATTATGTAAAAACTGAAAGGCTTACTACCAGGTTTCCTTGGATATTTCTAAACTCTAAAGGCTAACATACCCGAAGAAGAACTGTAAGCATGTATAATCTATATTTGTTTATAGTTCTACAAAATGTCCCAGGGGAGGGGTGTAAAACTTTATTAGCACCAAAATTTCCCTGCCAACATAAAACATACCAATTATATCCTATATAACCCTAAGGTTGTGTTTAAAGCATGGACTTGGGTAGGGATTTGAAAAGGGAAAAAATGTGTGAAATGTAACTATATTTCATTCACATTTCATACATATTTTCCCTTTCTCTTTCTCTATCCAAATCCCTACCGAAATCCATACTCCAAACACAACCTAAGAGATTGCAACAAATGAAAATTATGACATTTATCAATTTTGGTGCCACGTATAATTAAATTTCATCTCAAATCATTAACTCCCAAAGTATTTTCATTTTGTTTGGCATTGCCAAATTTTGATTTTGGTTAAAAAAAAGGGGAAATTTGTATTTAAGTGCGAACTATTTAAAGTAAATGTAATTTCATGTAGGTGAAAGTTAGAGCAAGTGAGAGGTGTGTCCCGTTTTACAACTTTCACTTGAATCAGACATAGGCTTAGTTGCACATGCAACAATTTTGAGTTGATCCCACTTAACTGCACTTTTCTCTTCTTTTTTTTTTTTTAAAAAAAAGTCATGCAAAATTATTAAATATATCATGGTCTTAGTTTCTCAAGATATGTAATGTATACCAAGTAGTGTTTTAAATATAGACAGTTCATATATTACAACTAATAATAAAACATAACCCAAGAGTTGTTTTTCCCTTCCTCAAGTGTCATAAAATTTTCCATTAACTTACCTTCTAATAATATTCTTCAATTGTTCGTTTACTTTGTTTACCAAAGGCAGATAATGTTCATAAAATCAGTTCATATCTACATAAAAAATAAATATAAATAAAAATAAAAACTTAAAATCAGTGTTTGGTTGGATGGGAGATTTGGGATGGGATTTGGAAAGGAAAAGAAAAATATATATATAATTACATTCCACATAATTTCACACTTTTTTTCTTTTTCATTTTCAAATCCTTCCTAAATCTCCCAACCATACACAGTTAAAATGCTTCTTTATCGTTTAGCATTCCCAAAGCTAGAAATCGCAAGGAAACAATACAATATCCTTATTATGGCTAACTGAAACCCTAAAATGATTTTTATCTTTGGAATTGAGGAGAGAACGCGAGATGCCGGAAATAGGGATATGCCAGGACTGAACCAAGAAATATAGAATCTGAGATACATACAGAATACCAATAATACACTGATACAAGTTTTATATATATATACACAGAGAGAGAGAGAGAGAGACCTGATGGAGGAGAGAACGCGAGATGCCGGAAATAGGGATATGCCAGGACTGAACCAAGAAATATAGAATCTGAGATACATACAGAATACCAATAATACACTGATACAAGTTTTATATATATATACACAGAGAGAGAGAGAGAGAGACCTGATGGAGGAGAGAACGCGAGATGCCGGAAATAGGGATATGCCAGGACTGAACCAAGATTAGATTTATCAACATTTATATTTATTATAATTTTTTTTTTATTTTTTAAAAATTATATTTTTTTTTTTTAGATTTAAAGTTTCATTACAGATTATTTTTTTTAGTAATTTAATTTTTTTAAATACTAATTTTGTTCTCATTGGGTAAATTACATTGTCACTCCTCACATTTTAGAAATTACAATCCCCTCTCCAAGGTTTAAAGTATCATTATCAATTGCCCCATCGATTAGTATTAGTTGAAAAAAAAATTAATTGGAAAAAAACTTATTTGAAAAAAAAATTAATTGAAAAAAATTTTGTTAGTCAAATTTTTAAATTTCTGTTTAAAACCAACGTAAACAACGTAAATTTTTGTTTAAAAATCAACGTAAATTGTTTAAATTTCTGTTTGATGCTTAATTGAAAAAAATAATGTTTAATGTTTAAATTTCTGTTTAAATAATGTTTAATTTTATGACATTTTTACCATCTGAGACGTGTTTGGTAACCATTTATTTTTCAGTTTTCAATTTACATTTACAAAAATTTTAAAAATTGTCATAAAAATTTGTTTAATAATTTTTTTTGTTTATAAATGGTTGTCTCAGTTTATAAATTTGAGAAAAAAACGCAAATTCAAAAAATGAGTTTACGTTGGTTTTTAAACATAAATTTAAAATTTTAACTAACAAAAAAAAATTCAAATAATTTTTTTTTCAACCAATACTAATTGAGGGGGCAATTAGTAATGCTACTTTAAACCTTGAGAAGGTGATTGTAGTTCCTATTGATTAGTTCCTATTGTTTAGTTGACTAACTCAACATTTAGATTAAGGGTGAGTATAGCCCAGATTGGATAAAATCAAGACCAATCTATTATCTACGACTTTTGAAAAATTGGAACCAATCCAATCCGTTCAAATTATAGAATCAATCCGAATCAATTCATTTAAATACAGATTATATCGGTTTAAGACCACGGATTCACATAATTAAATAACAAAAAAATATATAGAATATTTTAATTTCATAAAAACATAAACATAGTATCATATTAGTTCCACAATAGCAACATGTCTTTCCACAATAACGACATACTGTTCTAGAATTTAAACAATCGGAAGAAAACTGGTTTCATCATAAGTATTTAGACCATTGCAAATTAAAACTGAAAACCAACAAATAAAAGCAATAAAAGGAGATATTATGCGAGTTTAGGTTTGGATTTAGGTTTTCTATGGAATAGAAGAAGATATTATGCCAGAAGGTGTATAATATAAATATATTATTTGTATACGGTCCGGATCGGTTCCAATCCAGAGTCGTGGGGTTCAATCCGAGACAGATCCGTAGACTATGAATTTTTAATTTTTCAATCCAGAACCGAACCACGGATTCAAAAAATAATCCAAACCTACCGGATTGGACTAGACTGAATCGGACTAGATCGGGTTATGGATTTTACGGATTCCGTACTCAACCATAATTTAAATTGTAATGAGAACAACTCAACTTAACATTTAAAGAAAAAGCAAAGAAAAAAATGTAAATGATATAAAAATTAAATATATATTTTTTGAAATTCCCTTATCTTTTTCTTCTACAAATTCAAGATTCAAATACAATTTTAATTTTCCATATAACAAACAACAAACCAAGAAGGTATTATTCCATTTTTTTCTTTTTTCTTTTTCATTTACTGATTTTTATTAATATTTCTCTTGAAAGGGGATTTGTGGCAAAATTACTCACGATTGAGTAAAACACGGTAAAAACAACAGCTACATTCTTCTCTTTAGAAATGGGCAGGGTAAAATAAGTACAATGAAATTAATATTTGTAAATATTATGACCAACAACGAAGAAAAAGTGGTACTGCATAAACATTTTAACAACTCAATCTTGGTTTTTTTTTTATAACTATTTTTAAGTTTTTTTTTTTTGCATGTTTTTTTATATTTAATAAATTTTATTCTTATATTTTTAGTCTTTTTTACACACAATAATTACACACAATAATTACACACAATAATTACACACAATAATTACACACAATAATTACACACAATAATTACACACAATAATTACACACAATAATTACACACAATAATTACACACAATAATTACACACAATAATTACACACAATAATTACACACAATAATTACACACAATAATTACACACAATAATTACACACAATAATTACACACAATAATTACACACAATAATTACACACAATAATTACACACAATAATTACACACAATAATTACACACAATAATTACACACAAAATTGTTATATATAAAATTCTGAAACACAGATTTTCAAAAATAAACTCTGCATTTTAGTAAATAAACTCTGCATTTCCATACAAATTTTCCACACAAATAAACTCTGCATTTTAGTATATAAACACAAAATTTCCACTCAAATTGTTATTAAATAAACTCTGAGAATTTGCTAATTTACTGCCCTTTTGTTTGGCAGATTTGGGAATATTTCACAAACACATAGGTTGTGTCTAGACACATCTCATGACACACTGGTGGGTTTCTTTAAAAAAAATATTTTAAAAAGCTAATTTGAGGTCAAAACTAATATATAAAAACAAAGATGGGAAACAAAAAATATTCCTACATGTACATCAATGCCTCTCAGGTCTGTGCCTAAATTTATATTCATATAGATAGTAAATAATTTTTTCTTTTTTCCAATGTCCCCTTGATGTCCATATCTTTTCTTTTTTTTCTTTTTTTTTTAAAATTGTTGTATCCCGTGTCTATATAGACTCTATACATGCGTCTGTGTCCATACATGTGCATGTTTGTGCTTCTTATATACTAAAGATCTGCATCCAAGGAAGACTATTTTGTATATCCAAAAAATTATGAATGCACAATTTCCTAAGATCAACATCATTAGCCAACATGATCTGTAGTGTCACATTAAGGTCACTCTTTGCTTAGAGATGAAGTTTGAACTTTGATCATCATTGGCAAATCATAATGTCATCTCATTTGGTTGAAGAAACATAAAGACTTTACCATTATTATGGACTTTGAAAACCCAACTACAATAGAAGACCTTAGCATGGTCACAGAAGACCTTTTTTCAGCCCATTAACGAAGCTGCACCATTTTCTATTTTCTAATACAAACAATAATGCATATAACAACAAAGCCGACAATTGTAAGCAAATTTGTATTTGATAACAGTTTGCTTATTTTCAATGAACATGGGCTGGAGTTTGAGAGAATATAATCATATGCTGTCCAACATTTCTCACACTCACGGATATAGAGAAGTCAAAATCCCATAGGGCCACAATTTGAATTCAAAAAATTTATATTCAATTTACAATTGTAATATATATAGCCTTTCCATGTGAAGGATTTGCATAGCTTACATACACCCTTCTTTTATGCCCCAAACAATGGTCAATTACATTATTAATTGATATTTATAGTGACAACTATCGATGCTATTCATCATATCATTTCTTTAATTTAATATAGAAGAGCAAGTCACTTTTACCAACAAAAAAAAAGGAAAAAGATGGAGTGGAAGATCTGGAGTGATATAATCTAGATTTGCAGATTTGGGCAGATTTGGAGTGATGTTCCGTTAGTTGTACTTTGGTCTGTCTGGAAGCATCGAAATGAATGAGCTGCAAATCAGTGAGCTTTGTGAGGAAGTGCTTGGGGAAGGTGTTCTGTTTTCAGGAAGTGCTTTTGAGTGCCCAATTCAGCAGGTGTTCTGTTTTTTATCCTTTATGCTGCTGTTTGGTGCACGGAAAGAAGGCTTATTAGTTGGGTCCCAATCGGGTCTCAAGATCACGAACTTTTTATGGTAGGTGATTGTGTACCTAAGCGTATTTTAGAAAGACAGATTGCTAGGAGATGTAACTACTAATAAATAACTTTTTATTGTATCAGTAATGGTGAATGAATGCTATGGTTTAAGTCTGGTGCTCTATTTAGAAGGTAAACTCTCCAACGGCTAACTCTGCATTTCCATACAACACTTTCTGTGCGAAGAGTTCCCTATAGATGTGATGTCTGTGGGATAGCCTATATAAATATCTATTTTCTTATACCCAAAAAATATTATTATAATAGAATAACTCCAAAATGTATTTGTAACTCATCCTCTTCATTCATCAAACTGTTCAAATGTTTTTAATGTATTGTACCCACCACTAGTGTCTATATCCTCTTCATTCACCAAACTGTTTTTAATGTATTGTACCCACCACTAGTGTCTATATCCTCTTCATTCACCAAACTGTTTTTAATGTATTGTACCCACCACTAGTGTCTATATCCTCTTCATTCACCAAACTGTTTTTAATGTATTGTACCCACCACTAGTGTCTATATCCTCTTCATTCACCAAACTGTTTTTAATGTATTGTACCCACCACTAGTGTCTATATCCTCTTCATTCACCAAACTGTTTTTAATGTATTGTACCCACCACTAGTGTCTATATCCTCTTCATTCACCAAACTGTTTTTAATGTATTGTACCCACCACTAGTGTCTATATCCTCTTCATTCACCAAACTGTTTTTAATGTATTGTACCCACCACTAGTGTCTATATCCTCTTCATTCACCAAACTGTTTTTAATGTATTGTACCCACCACTAGTGTCTATATCCTCTTCATTCACCAAACTGTTTTTAATGTATTGTACCCACCACTAGTGTCTATATCCTCTTCATTCACCAAACTGTTTTTAATGTATTGTACCCACCACTAGTGTCTATATCCTCTTCATTCACCAAACTGTTTTTAATGTATTGTACCCACCACTAGTGTCTATATCCTCTTCATTCACCAAACTGTTTTTAATGTATTGTACCCACCACTAGTGTCTATATCCTCTTCATTCACCAAACTGTTTTTAATGTATTGTACCCACCACTAGTGTCTATATCCTCTTCATTCACCAAACTGTTTTTAATGTATTGTACCCACCACTAGTGTCTATATCCTCTTCATTCACCAAACTGTTTTTAATGTATTGTACCCACCACTAGTGTCTATATCCTCTTCATTCACCAAACTGTTTTTAATGTATTGTACCCACCACTAGTGTCTATATTTAGAGAGAGAGAGAGAGTACACAATGTAATGTTTTGTTGGGTTTATATTTGGCCAAGTTGCAGAAAAATGGAAAGAATAAATAATTGCGAAAATGGTGGGAATCTAAAATAATTGCATCATACAAACTTAAGAAAAAAAAAATTTAAAAAGCATGGCTACAATTACAATTTTGCCCCCAGCTTCTTTCTCCACGTGTATAAGATCTATCCCAACAAGTCACTATCATTGAAAGAAAATCCAATACAAAATGTGCAAAGATAAATACATTATGAACCATATATCAAACACACTAATAGCAGACAGTCTTTGACCTTGTGAATATAAAATCATGCATGCTTGAAAAATTTCATACTCAGCCAATGAAAATATACAGCAACAAGAAGAATAGGAAGTGTCAAGGGCACCAAGAAGCAGTAATACCTGTTGTAGAACAGGAATAGAATCAGGGAACATGAATAATAATATTTCAATATGTTATTATTTGAAATAAGACATAAAAGAGTAATTTTGACAATTGCAAGCAATGCAACACTGAAACTATTTTGTAACAGCAATCTTATAAAAGAAATTAAAATTTTCCTATGCCGGTTTATATAATGTAAATGATGACTATGAAAGTTGTTTTTCTTTTATAAACTTTGCAAAGTTCTTTAAAACTACTGGATAACTGGATATCAACAACCTCTTCTTGAAGTAGGTCTTCTCCATATACACTGGGACACACAAGCTTTTACAGAACCAAAACAAGCTTTTGCAGAACCAAATCAAATATGAATAGCCAAACATGTAAAATATCTTGACACACGGTGGTTCAGGCATATACATTCTACTGATTGTCATGAACATTTTATAATCAATTTGGAAATCCGTACTTACAAACAAGGTTGTTAAGATCGGGATCCTACACAGGATCGTTTTGGGGGTCTGTCGGATCGGATCGAGGATCGTAAGATCCTACTAAAATGATAAAAAAATGCAATAATTTTTATATGACTAAATAATACTATCAAAATATATATAGAATAAGCCCCAAAAAAGGAAATATAGCAATTCAATGTAGCATTCAAACATTTTTTTTCAAAAAAACAAGTCAAAAACATAATAAAACCAAATACCAACACTTACACATCATTGTCATTGTTTCTTAATGAAAACAAAACAAACTAAATGTATTGTAATTTACTTGTTTGCATATTCATTTGATTAGTCAATACACTCCATTTAAATTCATTACATTGATCTTATTCTTCTTTTTCTCATTTCATTGTGCTCTAGGGATATCCAAAAACAGAGAAACATAATCCAAGTTCATCAGTTTTAAAACGCTTTTCATTGAATTTAAACTATTTAAATTTTGTTACTTTAAAACACTTTATATAAATTTTAAGGTAAATTACAAATATATTTGTTGATATTTGTTGAAAATACGAATTTTCTTTCTATGATTTTGTAAATTAGATTTCCTCTTTTAAAACTTTTAATTTCATAACAAATGGTTCTTTTTTAATAAATTATAAAGTCAAATAATTAACAATTTTTATTGATGATGTCATAAATTTATTTTAATTAGAACTAATTTTGATAATTTTATTAATGTATGAGAGAGTAGTTAGAAATTTTATTTTTAAGTTAATTTTGTTAAATAATAAATTTTGACAATAAAATATTTATAATTTTTTGAACTATATAAATAAATTATATTTTAAGTAAACTTATGAAACATATTTATAATTGATTTTAAATTTTAATATTAAACAATACTCAACAAGATTTTGTTGGCATTTGCTAAAAACAGCCTTAAAAAAAAGAAAAAGGCAAATGGCTACATTAAAGCTGCTGTGGACTTTTGTTATATATGACTACCACAAACCAAAAAGAGCTGCTGAGCAGCAAAGAAATCAGAACAGCAGAGGAAGAACAACTTATAGCGAAGAAAAAGAAAAAAAAAAAAAAGAGCAGCAGACAGTCTGAACAGCAGCGAAGAAGAGAGAAGAAGAAGAAGAAGAAGAAGAAGAAAAAGCAACGTACCTGGATGGAGTCGCAGGCTCGCAGCAGGTCAGGCTTCTCTCTGTTTGATGTTGAATCTCTCTTTCCCCAATTCGTATTGCCCTAATCGCAGTAGGTGAGGCTTCTGTTGCTTTGCTTCTCTACTTCTCTCGCTTCTGCTCCCGATTTTGCTTTTAAGTGGCCAAAAAAATCCTTCAAATCTGGATCGCATGGAGTCGCGATCCAGATTCGATCCTACCGATCCCAGAACGATCCCACCACGATCCTGATCTGGGGTCGATCCAAAGTACGAGTCGGATTGAATGGTGTATATTGAGTCGTAGGATCGTACGATCCTACGATCCGGATCGCGATCTTGACAACCTTGCTTACAAATGATTGGTATTAACAGATACTTTCCAGTGATTTTGTCACCGGTATAGTGTTATAACATAAGCAATAAGATTTTCATATTGAACTGTTAAAAACATATATATATATATATATGTATATATAACCAAACCAAACTAAGCCTTAAGTCCCATCAAATGGGGTCGGCTATATAAATCCTTCTTCTCCACGTGGCTCTATCAAATGTCATTTCGTTAGTCAAATTAAATAGATCCATATCTCTATTTACAATGCTAGCCAACGTTAATCTAAGCCTATCCGGTCTCCTAACACTTCCATCTATCATCACTGCACTGCATCTCTTCATTACTCCCTCTATTGGTCCCCGTTAAAGATGATCAAACCATCTCAATCGATTCTCTCTCAACTTATCTTCTATCGGTGCTACTCCTACCCATTCCCGAATACACTCATTCCTAATTTTGTCTTATTTAGTTTTGTCACACATCCACCTTAGCATCCTCATCTCAGAAACACTCATCTTATCGACATTTTGTTTCTTGGTTGCTCAACACTCTGTTCAACACTCCGTCCCATACAACATCGCTGGTCTAATAGCAGTTCTATAGAACTTACCTTTTAGTCTAGTGGGTATTCGTTTATCGCACAGTACCCCAGACGCACTTCTCCACTTAAGCCATCTCACCTTAATTCTATGGGCCACATCCGCATCAATCTCCCCCGTCGTTGTGATAATCGATCCTAAATAACGAAAATGGTTACTCTTAGGCAGTTCTTGGTTCTCAATCTTCACTTTTTCTCTGCTTTCATTGTTATTGTTACTAAATTTACACTCCACGTACTCTGCCTTAGTTCTGTTTATCCGGAATCCTTAGATTCAAGTATTTTTCTCCAAATCTCTAACTTTGTATTAACTCTTTCTCTAGTCTCATCCACTAACACGAAATCATCTGTAAAAGCATACACCGTGGCATGTCATCCTGAATATTTCTCATCAACTCATCCATAACTAACGCAAAAAGAAAAGGACTTAAGGTAAATCCTTGATGTAACCTTACAGTGATAGGAAATTCATTTGTCTCTCTAACAAGCGATCTAATAGTGGTCACCACCCATTCATACATGTCTCTAATCACATCAATGAAACCTTTTGTCACCCCTTTCCTCTCTAACACTCACCATATTATATCCCGAGACACTCTATCATGTACTTTCTCAAGGTCAATAAACGCCATATGAATGTCTCTTTTCTTTTCTCTATACTTTTCTATTACTCTCCTCAACAGATAAATCGTTTTCATTGTTGACCTACCAGGCATAAACCCTATTAGGTCCCTACTTATTGCCAATTCCGTGAACAAGCTTGGGTTAATCGAGTTGTATTTTTCGTTGTTTTTTGGTCTTCTCACTCGAGCAGGGAAAGTTGCGCTCGAGCGGAGTTTTCACCTTCTCAGTAGTTTGGCTTGTCTGCAAAAAATACTGTGAGGTGTGATTTTGCGCTCAAGCGTAAGTTCCAGTGCTCAAGCATGGACCTTGGTTTGGAACACGCATTTTGATTACACCGCTCGAGCGCACTCGAGCGGCCATTCCTGCGCTCAAGCGAAGATCGCATATCCAACTGCTATAAAGTTGCAGTTTGCTCCAAATCTAGAGTACGACTTCCAGATCTTCTTTGAGGGTTCTAAGGTTTTCTTCCGGAGCAACTTTACTAGTTTTTTTTGATGTTGTGTTGAGTATTAAACTCATGGTTTAACAAGTATACATCAAAGAGGTGATTGATTATTCAATAACAAGAGTGTTTCTTCTTCAGTGGAATCCAGAGATTCAAGCGTGGAGTATTCGAAGGAGTTTGACGTTGTATGCAGTCGTTAATTCGACATGGATGTCGTGGATTCAACATCAAGATGATCAAATTCTGAGACGAAAGCGGTGGTGAAAAAGATACATATTGTTGAAGACAAATTGGTTGCGTTTTGGGTAATTTGCTTTGATAAATTTGTATTCCTTCTTTCTTTCTTAGTGGATTGATCAGTGGCGTTATGCCCGTGATTTTTTTAATCACAATTAGAGGTGTTCCAATTGTGATTTTTCCACGTAAAAATCGGTTGTGTGGATTTATTGATTTTGAAGCAACAATCTAAATCACTTTCGTATGTGCTAGATAATTTAGATTATCAGTTTTAATTGTTTGGATATTGTTGCAATTAATCTTGATCAGAATCACGAATCACTTAGGTATTACAATTGGTATCAGAGCAGGTCACTCTTCGTTTTTATCAAAACTATAAGAGTGTGATTTTGTGATATGGATTCAATTCGCAAAGGTAACTTGACCCATAGACCTCCTTTACTTAATGGTACAAACTATTCATATTGAAAAACTCATATGAGGGCATTTTTAAAATCTATCGATTAGAAAGTTTGGCATTGTGTGTGATCTATGGGTGGAGTGAACTTGTTGTCACCATTGATGGTGTTGATATCCCCAAATCACTCGATAGATGGGACGCGATCGATTATCAAAACTCGAGCTGGAACAGTAAAGCTCCCAATTCCCTCTTTTGCTCCGTTACACCAGACGAGTTTCGTCGTATTTGCACGTGTGAGGTAGCAAAAGAGGCTTGGGACATTTCTGAAACTATTCACGAGGGTACTACAGCTGTTAAAAAATCAAAACTTCAACGTCTCACCTCCTCTTTTGAAACTCTCTTTATGCGTGATGATGAGACGTTTGATGATTTTTATGCTAAACTTAATGACATCGCGAATTTTTGTTTTACATTCGGAGAAAAAATCCCTAAATCGAAGGTTGTTAGAAAAATTTTGAGGCTTTTACCCGAGAGGTTCCAATCAAAAGTGACAGCTATTGAGGAGGCTCAGGATGTTGAGAACCTCAAGCTTGATCAGTTGGTTGGAACCTTGCACACTTATGAAGCCAACCAGATTTTTAAGAAAAAACAAAAAGATAGTATGGCTTTTACCAGTGCTCATGAGACTACTAAGACCCCTGAGGTTGAGTTTGATCTAGAGTCCGAAATGACGGCGATGTTTACCAAACAATTCAAAAAAATTTAAAGAAAAAGAAGTCTAATTTCAAGGACTAGTTCAAAAGATAAGGGTAATGAAAAATTTAAAACTTTTCCATCAAAAGTTGTTCCAAAAAATAAGAAGACTGTGAATGGGGTAAGGTGTCAAGTGTTGTGAATGTCAAGGATTTGGACATATTGCACTTGAATGTCCATCAAAAAAGAACAGCAAGAAAGTCTATACGCGAAGAAACCGAATCCGATGAAGACGGAGATAGTACTTACATGGCATTCTGGTCTATCATCACTCAACCATCTCCAAAGCCAGTTGATTTTGCTCATGGTCAGAGTCTGCACCGTGCTCCTACCTTTGATGGAAGTAATTACTTATTTTGGAAGATCCGAATGAGGATGTATCTTAGAGCTCATGACCCTGAAGGTTGGCAAGTAATTGAAGAGCATGTTAAAAGTGTTGACAATCAAAGCAATCAAAGAGTTCTGAATACAATCCGTGAAGCAATTTCCGAAGAAGAAGAACAGATTGCTCACTGCACAAAAGGCAAAGATGCATGGGACATTCTTAGTCAAGTCCATGAAAGAGGAGAGTCATCTTCATCACCATCCATCAACTTTCATGCCTTAGTTGCTCGATTAGATGAGATCGAGAAAAAAGAGAAGCAAAAAGAAGATGATGAAACCTCGGAAGACAATGATGAGATTGATGGTGATGACCCACAACAAGTTTATGAAAAGCTTTACAATGAATCTCTGAACTTGTCCAAGATCAATGACAAACTGACTGTCAAGCTCAAAGCATGTGAAAGCCAGAATGTCAAGCTAATGGGAGAGGTTGCTAAAGCAAAAAATGATGTCATCAAGATCTCCAATGACAGGCGAGACCTATGTGGAAAACTTCTATCTCGTGAGACCGAAATGAATAAACTTCTAAAAATCTATGCCACATATGAAGAGAAGATTAAGATCCTTGAGATGTCACAAGCTGCATTGGAAGAGAAGGTCGGTCAGAAAGAGGACAAACTCAAAGATGCTAGAGCCACGATTGATATGTGGAAAAAAGGTTCAAAGACACAGGAAGACATCTTCGGGTCTTGATGACATCCTTTTTTTCTGTAGCAATCTCTCCCTTTAGCTTGACATTCTCGCTTTCACATGCTTTGAACTAGAAAGTCAGTTTGTCATTAATCTCGGACAAGTTCAGAGATTCATTGCAAAGCTTTTCATAAGCTTGTTGTGGGTCATCACCATCAATCTCATTATTGTCTTCCGAGGTTTCATCATCTTCTTTTTGCTTCTCTTTTTTCTCGATCTCATCCAATCAAACAACTAAGGCATGAAATTTGATGGATGGTGATGAAGATGACTCTCCTCTTTCATGGACTTGACTAAGAATGTCCCATGCATCTTTGACCTTTGTGCAGCGAGCAATCCGTTGTTGTTCTTCTTCTTCAGAAATTGCTTCACGGATTGTATTCAGAACTCTTTGATTGCTTTGATTGTCAGCACTTTCAACATCCTCTTCAATTACTTGCCAACCCTCCAGGGTCATTGAGTTTCTAAGATACATCCTCATTCGGATCTTCCAAAATAATAATTACTCCCATCAAAGGTAGGAGCACACTCTGACCACGAGCAAACTCAACTAGCTTTGGAGATGGTTGAGTGACGTAGACCAGAATGCCATGTAGGTACTATCACGTCTTCACAGATTCGGTTTCTTCGGATTCTTGCTCTGACCTGCTTCATCACCAAGTCACTAATAGACTTTCTTGCTGTTCTTTTTTGATGGACATTCAAGTGCAAATGTCCAAACCCTTGACATTCACACAATTGACACCTTACCTTCACAGTCTTCTTCTCAGTTTTTGAGCAACTTTTGATGGAAAAGCTTAAATTTTTCATTACCCTTATCTTTTGAACTAGAGTCCTTGAAATTAGACTTCTTTTTCTTTAATTTTTTTGAATTGTTTGGTAAACCATTGTCATCATTTTGGACTTAGATCAAAACTCAACCTCAGGGGGTCTTAGCATCTCATGAGCACTGGTAAAAGCCACACTATCTTTTTGTTTTCCTAAAAAATCTAGTTGGCTTCATAAGTCGGCAATTTCCAACCAACTGATCAAGCTTGACGTTCTCACATCCTGAGCCTCCTCAATAGCTGTCACTTTTGATTTGAACCTCTCAGGTAAATACCTCAAAATTTTCTAACAACTTCAATTCAGGATTTTCTCTCTGAGTGTAAAACAAGAATTCGCGATGTCACTAAGTTAGCATAAAAATCATCAAACGTCTCTATCATCACGCATAAAGAGAGTTTCAAAAGAGGAGTGAGACGTTGAAGTTCTGATCTTTTAACAGCAGTAGTACCTCGTGAATAGTTCAGAAATGTCCCAAGCCTCTTTTTGCTACCTCACACATGCAAATACGACGAAACTCGTCTGGTTGTGACGGAGCAAAAGAGAGAATTGAGAGCTTTACTGTTCCAACTCGAGTTTTGATAATCGATTGCGTCCCATCTATCGAGTAATTTGAGGATATCACACCATCAATGGTGACAAGAAGTTCACTCCACCCATAGATCACACAATGCCAAACTTTCTCATCGATAGATT